CGTGGAAGTCTTTTCCAACCCCAAACAGTTCTATGACTTCCTGGAAATTCACTGCTGCAATTTTAGTCACTATTGGTAAACATTTAATTCTTGGCGTGTCAGGAGGAAGTGCTGATGAATCAAAGAGATCTTGTTTAAAGAAGTCTTAAGTAGGTGGGGGGAGTGAAAAACAAGTACTTCGTAATTTGCCTTACTGGAAGTGCCTTCAGCAGTGTCATTTTGCATTTAAGAAGCAGTTTGGTTGGTCTGGCAGCGACGAGAGGCTGCTTAAAAACCAAAAAGTACAATGTTAATTGAAAGAAATAATTGAAAACATGTTTTTAATTGAGCTATATCTTAGCCAGAGCTAAGTAATACCAAGTTTTTTGTCCAGTATAGTCAGCTGTGATCTGATAAGGATATCTCTGTAAGGTGATTTCTAAATCCTTCAGTTTATTTTTGTTATGCCGCACTTGCTAAGCTATTTTACTTTTCAGAGAAGTGAATTTACAGTATGCTGGATGTTTGTGTGAGACTGCTGAGGAGATGAAGCAAATTTGAGCAGTCACTTGGCAGATCTCATCACAGTATCGTATTTAAAAGTGCACCCTAGTACATGTTTAACTCAAGCTTTGTTTTGCTGTGCAGGAGGGGTTAAGAAATGTGGGGTTAAGAAATCCCGGGTTTTAAAAAAGCAAACCCAAAGAACAGCACCCAAACCCCCAAAAAACTTGTTTCCTGAATGGATCTGCATAATAACTGTGTGTGTTTTGCTGCGTTTCAACCAAGACATTTTCATGTCCTTACATCCTTCTACCATTTTAAGCAGGGAACTTTTCCCATAGGAAGGAGAAAAACTTTGTAAGAGAACCTAAAAAGTTTTTTTTGAACTGCTTTAGGAGACAGCCAGAGGTACACACAGGCCTTCAAACATCCCAGTCAGGTGGTTTGAAACCAGCATTAGTTGCAGTGAGTTTCTGTGAGTTGCAGGAGAAAAAAATCCGTAGTTCTTTCCAGATCCGTGGACTTTTTTTTTGGTGGCGAGTTGTTTTTTTTCCCCCATTTTTCTTGGTTAAGACTGTGTGTACATTCCAGTGTCCTGACTGGGCAGGAGTATCTCCGTGGATGCCTTGTGCTGGCTGCTGTGATGGCTCCACATGCTTGAAATAGTTGGTCCACCACCTCTTAGGGTGGCCTAAGTGGAAATTCTAGTCCGTGTAATCCAGTTGCCGTGTTCTCCCTTAATCCCTTTTGGGACGGTTGTAGGAAAAACTGAAAAAAACCAACCCTGGAGCGAGTATTTTGCCCGTTTTCAGTTAGTCTGTGTTTCCCTAGCACTCCAAATGCTTTTTTGCAGTGTAATGGCCTGGTACCTCTGTGGTTTTCCAGAGGAGCCCTGTCCGTGTTCCAAGTGCTCTTGGCGACGCGCGTGCCCTTTCCTGCACAGCTGCTCTCCGAGGAGCCACGTGAGTGTGCCAAGCAAAGCGAGTGTTTGGGATTTGTTTGTTCTTAGGGACTCGTTCCTAAAGTCGTGGATTTCTCTTAATAGCAGCTTCATGAAAATATTTAGGTTAGATGCAAATTATAGCAGCCTTAAACCTAATTTGCAGCGTGTTCTGCAAAGTCATCTTATTTCTCCCTTCCCCCCCCAGAGCAAAGGAGAACTCTCCCTTCGTGGTTGTCGTGCAGAGCTCTTTGCAGAGAAGTCCCCAGACATGGGGTCATCTCTGTTGTTCCAGCAGAGATCAACCAGCAGTTGGCACAACGGATATGATGGTTTTGCTGGGATGGTGAAAGGAAAAATTATCTACTTCCAGCAGTTGTGAGGGCAGTGTCTGCCCGGGTAATAAAAAGAACCTTGCCCTGTGCTCTGCCAGAAGGGCTTTTTGCATGGAGAAATCAGAATCATCCACTTATTTAGGGCTGGGAGCACTTTCAGTAAGGCCGAGCTGTTAATAGCCCTGCAGGCAGCCAGGTTAGGAAATGAAGGCACACCAGTGCCACCTCTGGACACGGTGCTGCTCGTGGAGCAAAGAAAATGGCTCCTTCTCCTTAGCTTTTAGTAGCAGAGGTATCATGACATCTGATTTTTCCAGTGGGAAAGGGGGATTGGGAGTTTAAGAACCCCTCGTCCGGATCCAGCTGCTCATCTTTGCCATCCCTGGTGGTGCTGGCACCGGAGATGAGCTGGGCTGGAGAACTGATCTGACTAACGAAGTTATTTATGCAAATCTTTATTATAGCTGCTGGTGGAGAGAGTGGGTGGGATGGTCCCTCTTGGCACTGCTGGAGATTTGTGAGAGACTCGATCCTGTACCCACAGCTGATGATTAGGAGTTATCTCAAACCACATTTAATGGGTTGCTTTTTTCACAGGAAAAGCTTGTGTAAAACCTTTCTGTTCCTGTGTAGCTCGAGGGCTTACAAATACCTTTTTTTTTTTTTTTTTTTTTTTTATTTTAGTGCCTTGTGAAAATTACATGGAAAGTCGTTGAGTTAATGGAATTTTCGCTTCTAAAGTTTCTCAGATTTTAATCTAGGTGTCATATCTGCAAAGCCTGCCCCCGGGTATTGTGTGGGAGTTTGATGTCCAGAAAAAGGGCTTTACATGGAAAAAGGAGTCTGCCATTAGGATATGAATTTGTTTGTTTCTTACTGTCTCATGGCTCATGGAATGCTTGAATTCCTCCAAGCCCATAAATTTTCCTAAATTGTTTTGGTAAATTGACTTTGTACATATGGACTTCTGTCTTCAGTGTTTGTTTAATCTTAATAAATTAATAACCCATGTATTTTAAAACATTTCTGACTCTATTGACACTGCTATCTTTATCTTTCATATTTCTTTCTAGCCTTAATTTTGTGTGACTGCCTGTCACTTTTCTCTCTCTCTGTGGAAGGATTTTTATCTTGTCTAGCTGTGTTGATTGAGATCCTCTTTGGTTGTGGCAAATTGATCTTTGACCTGGAGAAGCAAACAAATCTCCTTCTAAAAATACGATATTTGGGATCTGTCCCAGGTATAAAATGCCTTTTTCCAGCAGGGAATTATCTGACCATGTAATAGTGCCAATTCCTGCAATTGTTGCTCAACATATGAAGAGTTTATGTCCAGTATTTAAGCAAATGTAATGGCATCATAAATAAAATATAATCTGTAGGGTAAGTTGTCTTCTTGCATTCTAGGATAAAGTTCCATAAAGGAGAAAGGCCATTATCTAGTTTTATCTGCCTTTATATCCCTTAAGTATTTAAGATACATATCTTCAAGTTTAGCATTTTTTTTCCTCCCCAGATAGAAAAAGGCATTAAGAATTTATTAAATACCATGTTGTCTTGCCTGTGGCGTGCTATAGGAGAGTACAGGTATGAATCTTCTCAACAGCAAGTGTCTTGTGGTTTCTAATTGTGACTTAGCTCGGAGACTGGCAGCTTTTATTAGAAATCTGTGTCTCAGAAGTTCTCCCTTTTGGTTTAGTTGGTTTTGTCCTGGTTGTAATTAAAGATGGGGGTCAGGTTTTCTCTTGGAGTTGAGAGATTGTTTGCACTGCAAAGTAGGTGGATGTTTAATTATGCAGATCCATGGCTTGATGTTCCCTGTTTGATGGGGTTTGAGCAGGAGGGCAGTGCTTGTCCATATCCTGTTCCATCGCATTTTCCCCATTGGAAATGGGTGAATAAAGTACCTGCAGCCCTGGATCAGCGCTGGCATCGCTGTGCCAATAAATATGCCATGGTGGGAGTTAGCTGAAGGCAGAGGGGAAACCTGAGTTTTATTCCCAGGATCCGAGCCTGCAGATGGACACAACCACTTCACCAGCTCTGGAAAATGTTGGGATTTCAGAGGCCACCCACCCTTGGTTGGCTCTTTGCTGTCTCCCTTGTCACAGCAGGGACTGCTTGGATACCGTTGCTAGAGCAGCGATTTCGGTCTGCCCGGTGTGGAAAGAGAGAGCTGATTTCTGTCTCTTAGTGCTCAACCTCTGACTTAACCTCCTTCCCTTCGGAGCTTTCACGGCAGTGCTTTTTCCTCCAGCCCTTTGTAGTAATCCAGATGCTCCTGTTCTTTCCCTCCTACACAGCAGATGGAGATGGCATAAGCCTTTTGATGAGTTTCCTTCTTTTTACATAAGTTTTATGAGCTGACGAGTTCATTAGTTGGATGTCGTGGAGTTCATAAGGCCTGTCCAGCAGGTGGTGCATCGTCACCTCGCCAATAATTATATACATTTTAGTGATTTTTTGGTTGGTTTTTTTATTTTTTATTTATTTTTTTTAGTTTAATCTGGGAGGTGAACTTTACTACATTGTTATTAGGAGAGGAGGCAGACCTGTCATGTGACTGTCATGATGAATCTGTTTAATTTTAGCCAAAAAAATCTATTCTGAATTTGCTAATCTCCCATAAACACTGTGCTATTCTGAACTGCAGCTCAGTTTTGCTTGGTTGAAGGGTTGAACTTCTGCTTTCTTGTGTGTTGTCCTAGGCTCCTAGCTCATGAAAAATACTTGTTAAAATTTGGCATGAGTTAGGTGGTCATCTTCCACCCTCCAGGAAAGCTTAAGTAGGTTAACAGCTCTCACTCTCTCTCCCTTCCAATATTGCCTGTCTAGTAAAGGACAGTTTTTGGCTTAGTAACCCTCTCACTGCTCATCACTATAACCTTATTGAGAAGTTCTTACCCTGATGGGGTGAATGAACCCGTTTTTTCCGCTTCATTACAGACTTGTAATTCATCTGTTTTACATTTGTTTCACAATTTGGATTTTTTTTTTGTTTCGCAACTTGGGGCTCCGTTTCTCAACCACGAGGCTCGGGGGCGTATTTTGATGGGTCCTGTAAAATAGTGATGTGCAAAATTTTTAACAATGAGGGGGAGAACCCGAGTCTCTACCTGGTGATTTAGGTGGTTGCATGAGAATGTTACTGCTCTGCATGTAAACAGACTTATTGGAGAAGCAAAAATAGGTGGCTGTTGTTTAAATTAATTCTGGCTTCTCGTTTTTTTGTTTTTTTTTAGGAATATCTTGGTGGATAAACCCAATGATCAGTCCTCAAGGTGGTCTTCAGAAAGCAATTATCCCCCCCAGGTAAGCCGTGTTGTACAACTTAATATATCCTGGAATTTTTATTTTGAATGCATGCTGCTGCTGTTGACAGCTTTTGTAGGTTTCCTTCTCTGAGTAAAATGCAGATTGTTGGTACATCAGGTATTTACATTTCTAGCGATTTGTGATGTTTCAAGGAATGCTTCATTGCGGGGGAAGTTTCAGGTTTCATCCTTGGCAGTCGTGGTCGTGCTGGAAATAATGGAACCTTATGGTGAGATTAAGTTGCTAATGAGGCGTGAGGTCCCCCTTTGTCAGCACTACTGGAGGCTGTTGTAGGTTCTTGGCCTTGAATCCCAGATCTAAGGAGCCTGTGTTTGTTTCTCCTTAACAGCACGTTTAGAAATGTAGCCTCTGGTTAAAGAAACACCAATGTCACCTCTTCTGCTGGCTAAGCACCTTATTAAAATAAGATTTGTATTGATTTTAGCATCTAATTTGCTTTCTCACTATTAAGTAGGTTTTAGATTATCCAGAAAATGCTTTTCTGCTTATTTTTTTTCTCCAATAAATGTGTTATCCTTTTTTTTTTTGTGTGTGTTAGATCCACACCTTATTACTCTGATACTGTTTGATCAGCTTCTGTATCTCTTATGTTTCTTGCTGGTTTGAATTGTTTTTAAATTCTTTTGTTTAAAGCACTGAGCAGAGTGTCTTGTGCAGTGTCTCTCTTGTGCAGAGTTCTGGTTATCTGCGTATTTAACCCAAGGATTCCTCATGAGTGAACTCTCACAGGATTTTTCTCCAGGTAAATCTTGCTGCTTTGCCTCGGAGGTGTGTTAAAAATCGATAGTCTGCACTGGTGGCTCCTTAGAGCAGCAGGTCATCCTGTCCAGCTGAAGAGCTTTCATCTGGATTTTCTCATCAATCCTTCTCTGTTGTTGTGTCTACAAAAGTGGGAGATTTTTTAGAGGAGATGGAAAACTGTCCTCTTTATTCCATTAACATGTTTCATAAACCTGCTTGTGAAGACTAATAATTTTTATTCTCTTGATACCTCTGTGCATATACTGCTTTTAATTTGATTTTTTTAATATATAATAATTTTGATAAACAGCATAGGAGCTTAATCCATGGCCTGAAGCAGTTTTAGTCTGTCTAGGAACTATGGATTGCAGGGTAATGGATGCTGAGCTTGGGTTCTATTCCAGTCTGTACATCCTTCCTCTCGTGCAGGAAGCACATGTTGTTCTTAGGGTGCTCTTGTTCCCAAGGCAGGGTCAGTTTTTGTGGTGTGGTTTTGGACTGGGTTTTTCATCTGAGGTGTACTTTTAGTTGCTGCTCAAATTTACTTTCATTTTCTGAGCCATCCTGAATATTTATTTCTTTTAAAAATCTGACTGTGGAATGGGAAGGAACCTCTTGTAAATGGGTGCTTTAGAATATTCCCATCCTGTACTCCAAGCTGACAAGCAGTGATGAGGGTTGTATTCGGATATGTAGATTAAGCAGGTAATAATTAGAGTGGCAGACTTCTGTACAAACCACACGAGCTTGTTAAAGAGATGTCTTCCAAAAATTTTATGTGGATTGGCCGTGACCCGAATGGAGATGTTGCTGCAGAACGACTGAATCCAGCCCTGGAGAACTGGGCACTGCTCTGAATGCTAAGCAAGGCATTTAAACCAGCCTTTTTGGTAGGAGAGAGATGAATTAACACTGTCATTTATCTACCTGTGTGTCACATATCTAGACATGTATTAGGTATCCTGAATTAAAGTCTGACTTGGGAAAAATTGATCTCAGTAGTTGCAACCGAGATTGGCAAGACAGTATTTAAGTTTTATTCTGTTATTTAAAGACAAAACCAACAGAAAACCTGACTGCCTGACTGGAAAAGATCATCCTGCTCAATTCCTCTTACTGAATCTCTGTATCCAACAGTGAGAATATAAAATGCTATGTAGTTGGATTCAGCAAGCCCAATCCTGAGTGCTGAGAGAGATGAAGTATTTGCAGTGCCCTTATACTATGTAAAGTACTTTATATATACTTTATATTGAATATATCATATTATAATATCATGTATATTTATATTTTATGTACATATATACTTTAGCTAATTCTCATGTTTCCAACCTGAGCTTATCCATGTAAAGCATTTTTTGACAGTTTAATTTCTCTGTTGAAAAATTAACTGGAAAGAGGGAATTGGGAATTAAAATTTGTAGAAGAGGCCTGGATGCAAAGAATGCAGTTTTTATTATTTCTGTGTATATAGAAACAATTCCCATTTGTGTTGTCTCATACTTGACAAAAGAACTTCAGATTTGGTTGCGTTTTGCTCAGAGTAATTCTTGCACCTTGCTCATTGAAAGACTGCCACATTTAAATGCAGGTAAAACTTATACATAGGCACTGTGCTTCCTTGTTTTTCCAGGTGTCTGAAGTCCTTAAGGCAGATTCTTAGCTTGGAAACCTTCGACTGAAACAGTGGGTGACCAAATTATGAGCGTGATGAGGAGAGAAGTTGGGGCAAAATCAGTTCCTATGTTAGAAGTTGAGTAGTTCATATTCCAAGAAATGTTGATATATACACGTAGCTTTTAATCCCCCAAATAAACATCACATATCCTATGGAAAATGAAGCTGCAAAGCTTCATTTTATGGGTGGTGTGTTGGCAGCACTTCAGTTAAAGACTGGTCACTTGTGCGGTGACGCATTTGTTGGAGTGTGTGGGTGGCCACAATAGTCCGGAGAGGAAGCGAACGAAAACTCAGGGAAATAAAGCTCTCCTTGTTCCCAACTTTATGGGCTGAAAACCAGGGCTAAGACACAGCACAGGGACTCATGTCAGTCCTGCTCACGGGGACGTGCTGGGAGATGGTTTAATAAGCTCCAGTCGCTCGTGTTTGTCCCGTCAGTGTCTCACCTGAACGTCAGGGCTTAGCAATTCCCTGCCGGGGTGAGGATGCTGTGCTGCCTTAGAGGTAGAAGTATGAGTGAATCCCTAAACATTGATTTATTCCCTTCCCTTGTTGAGTGAGAAGTGAAACAAAACCTCCCCAGGCACCTTTTCTTTCACAATGTTCCTCTTGCTGGGATGAGCACGAGCTGGAAGAATGTAGGTAAGAACCTCAAAATGTGTTCAGTAGCTCCATGAAAATGCAGTAAGTGTGCTGGAATCTGTATCAAACCTTTTTGAGGAAGGGAAGAGAATGAAAGTGGAAGTGTAGACACTTGAAATGCTGCCACGTGACTGTATTTAGTAAAGGGTTTTCCTGGCTTTATGGGTATGGTAGAGTTAAGTAATTCTCATGGCCTTGAAAGCCACCAGTTGGTTATGAATGAGTGCCAGTGAAAGGAAATACATCTGACAGCTGGTTTTCTGTTTATTAAATTAGATATCTTTCTTGAGTCTTGAAATAGATGACCCAGAAATTATATATTTAATAACAAACCTGTTATGTAGTAACCTATTCAAGCAGGAGAGGGCTGATGGGTCTATTTTTAATCCAGTTTTCAGTTTACATAGGAAGTGTGAAGCAATGAGGCTGGTGATGCTGAAGACCACAGCTCTGTCATAAAGGCTCATCCTGATGATTCTAGTGATGGTCTGACACAGAACAACATCTAATTTCCCTGAGTGGCTTGATTAATAATACGTAGAACAAAAGGATAGATTTTTATTTAGCCACCAACTTAATTGAAAAAGCAATCAGGAGGTTTGTGTCGTGGACAAGAACAGCTCCTGTTATTTTGTTATGTTGTGGTGGTTATTTTTACCTGCAGTACAAGTTTCACTACTCCATAATAAAAAAAAGCTTAAAGAGAAAGAAATTAATAAGTTACAGTGTGACTCTAATTGCACAGGCAGCTTGTGCAGTGCAGTTTTGAATGATCACAGAATCAAATAGGTTGGAAAAGACCTCTGAGGTAGGGTCCAACCTTTGACCAAACACCATCTCATCAACCAGACCATGTCATTAAGTGCCACATCCAGTCATTTCTTGAACCATTCCAGGGATGGTAACTCCACCACCTCCTGGGTAACCCATTCCAACCTTGTGGATTTTGAAATGTGAATTTTGAATACTGGAAGAGCATATGTAGAAAGTTAGTGGCATAGTGGACACAATTGGTTCTGCATCTGGGAAGACTAGTTTTCCTCTCTTGATTTCCATCCTACTCAGTAGATTGTATCAGGAATTAATGTAAAATACATTAATAAAATTTACACTCAGCTGTGTGATGCAGAAGCTTTCATATGGTTGTCATCAAATGGTAGCACAGACCAGAGCTTCAAAAGAGTTTGGAATTTGTTGCAGCTCCCAGTGTGACAGGGCTGAATTTACTTTATTTTGGGTGCAGTGTAATGAGCTGTTGGGGTGCTGAAGTGCTAATACGTGACTTTACTCTTTGTGCATCTTCACTTACAAATGTGTTGAGTCATAAACCAGAAGTTTTACTCTTCAAATGTTTTGTAGCATCTCTTTTGTAAGTGTTGTAGTTCGAGGCTTAAACAGTTGGGCTGAGGTTTTTGCTCAGTTATTCCAGTTAGTGTCCTTGTGCCCTGTTTTAACGAACAAACTCTTGAGTTTATGATTTGGACTTTTGGAATTCTGTGCGAATACGTGGACATTAAATGTACTGATGTTGCTTATTGCAATGGGAAAAGTGTCAAGTATCTTGGTGTATGTATTGGCCTGAGATCTCATAGATTTGTTCTCTCCAGGTTGAATAAATCACTTGGTCTTGCATACAGTTCTGCCACTTCTTTCAGAGCCATAGAGAATAGTCTGTCATGGCTACAGTCCTGGTAGCAGTCCAAAAATATCCATGCAGCCCAGCTGTTTGCAGCTCTTGAGGCAAAGTGTTTTTTCAACATCAGTGAGATTTGTTGCTGGTACCCACAGAGTGGCAGCAGTGTGTGTGTTTAGAAACCCAAAAAGTATATTATGTCTGTATTTTTATATATATCATAGAATCGTGGAATGGTGGGGGTTGAAAGGGATGTTAAAGATCATCCAGTCCCAATCCCCTGCCAAGGGCAGGGGCACCTCCACTATCCCAGGTTGCTCCAAGCCCTGTCCAACCTGGCTTTGAACACCTCCAGGGATGGGGCAGCCACAACTTCTCTGGGCAACCTGTGCCAGGGCCTCACCACCCCCACAGTAATGAGTTTCTTCTTAATATCTAACCTAAATTTCCCTTCTTTCAGTTTAGAAGTCTTTCAGTTTGTGTGTGTATATGCATTAAAAAATCCAGAAGTCCATACCTAGGTACGGGTTTTAAAGCAAACCTGTCTTTAGTTTCCATATCAGTCAGTGGATAAATTCACAAAAAGGTTGTGTTTAGCTTTTGTGCTTCTATTTTCTGTGGGGTCTGTGTGACTCAGCAGGTGGTGGGATGTGTGGAAGTGGGAAGGAGGACTGCAGAGTTCCCTTCTGTCTGTAGGGTTAAGAAATCACTGCTGGCCCTGTGGAGTAATTGCTGTGCTTTGCTCCCTTTGGGGCACGAAGGGTTTAAGTGCAGTCCTGCTTTTCTCTCCCATAATTTAGGCTAAGAATTGAATAATGCAGGATGACCTTTGTGCCAAGGTTTTGCAAGTCTTGTGTGGTACTTGAGAGAGAGTATGTGTTCATGGCCCAGGCATTAGGTTTGGGATTCCAGCAGGATTAAGAATTGCAATTGCTGGTAGTGCTGGCTTTGCTTTTCCAGCTTCGGGAGAAATCTGCAGGGAAGATACGATGGTGTGGGAGGAGTTCTTAGACGTTGTGTACTGTCTGTTCTGCATGGGAATTTTGGCAGCAGGCTGTGCCATGTATCAAGTACTGCCTTACTCATTACAGGACTGTCCTTTTGCTCATCCTTTCCTCTCCTCTGCTTTAGAAAATAAGTTTTCTATATAGAACTTCAGGGTTTTTTTTTGGAATTTTGGAGAGTATTTTGAGACAAAAGTGTGGCTTGCTGCAGGTTAAACTAACAGTGGGTTCTGATATTTAGGTGGATGGTGTTCTTCACAAAACTAGGAATTTTTCATTAAGAAAAATCTGGAAGTGCACCAAAGCATTCTTCTGTTGTACCCTCACAGTGCTGACACTGGTTTATTTTCTTCACTCTGAAAAAATTTGAGTTGCTGGAAACATCTTTGGCAGTAAATCATCTTCTGTTAGGTATCTACCCAGTCTGCATCATCTGCAACTGTTGTATGTACAAGTATTTCTTTCAATCTAAGCTTCTTGTGAATGTAGTGGGAACCAGCTACTGGGAACCTTTATCCATCCCATCTTTATCCTGGTGCTCTCCAGAGTGATGTCAGTCCTGCTCATAGGTTAAGAATTAGTAGCTCTGTAGGGCTGAGACAGAAAGACTGAGAACTAAATGGATGGGCAAGTTTGTTCTTCTCTCCCAGGAGTTACTCTTCTAGGGTAAGGTTCTCCTACTGATGGAGCTGTTTGTCCTAAGCAGAGTGATGTCAGTGGCACTTGATAGGGAGACTACTCAGTCTCTACTCAGGATCCACAGAAAACAGCCACACATATGCAAAATACTCTGCTTGATGTCGATGAAAGACATCAAGCAGAGTATTAATAAGGTGTCATGTCTGGCTTGGCTGCTTGGAGGGACAGGGCCACCAGCAGAGCCTGTGGTGGGAGGTGTCCTACAGCTCTGTGCTGATCTACTTGTGCTGGAGTCCTGATGGGGTTTTGTAACAAAATCCAGCACGATGAGTAATTGTGATTCTGCGCTTTGCCTCGGTTCCCCATGTGCTCTGCTTAGTTCGGAGAAATCAGGGAAAAGAATTTAAGGTGTTGTTTTCAGGTGTGAAACTCCACGTGTTCTGCAAAACAGGATGTCTCTACACTCCCCCCAAGACCTGTTTGGTGGGGAAGGTGCTCAGTGGTCCCCGATGAATGGTGCAAGTGCTTCCCTGCTCCTGCTTTTCCTTGGGAACAGCCCTTTTCCTCCAGTAGTGCCGGTGAAGGTGGTAGCTGGAGCCTGAGTATAAATCACCTGACTATTCACACACTGATGTGTCCCCACGGTGTAAGAGGGCAGCAAATGTCCACAAGTTCACATTTTCATCATTTTCTGTGCAAAGACCCTTTATTGTCACGAAGTGGCTCAGTTTTATTTGGGATGGTTAATAAGCAGTTGGTTCCTGTGTTCTCCACGCACCAAACTTTGTGCTCAGTGGTTAAACAGCGTCAGCCCAGAGAGGAAAAGTAATTTGATGTTCTCTTAGCATGTGGAACATGCTGTATTTATCTAATTGTGTATTCAGTTTAGGTTTCATTTCAGGCTGTGGTGGGCGTTTGAATCTTCACTCCCTGTAGTTTGATCCTATTTGCCAGATTTCAGGAAGTCTTGCGTCCAACTTAAAGGAACGTATGTAAGTCCTGAATAGAATTGCTAGGAATAGATAGTTCAACCACATCTTTTTCCTGGATAAACTGCTTTTAAAGGAATATTCCGAAAAAACCCTTTTCTTCATTCCAGTACAAAGGAGAAAATATAATAATGGAGAAGTTTCATCTTCAGTTTACAAAGCTAAAAGAATGAAAGTGAATTTTTGGAGGCTGTAATGCTTCTCCCTTAGTGTGTTTTGCAGCCCTGGCTTTAATATTAAAATCCACTCTTCTCTCTTCCACAGTATTTGATTCTGAAACTTGAAAGACCTGCCATAGTCCAGAGCATCACGTTTGGCAAATATGAGAAAACACACGTCTGCAATTTAAAGAAGTTTAAAGTTTTTGGTGGGATGAATGAGGAGAATATGACAGATCTCTTATCCAGGTAAGACATGATTCCATCAGCTATGGAATTGTAAAGGCTGGACCAAAATGCTCTTCCCCCCTGGTTCCCGAGCAGACGCAGCCACCAGCGGAGCAGAGCTGTGGTTGTGATCCTGCAATTATCTGCCCTCATGTTTACGGTCAGGTCAGAGCAGCAATCCCAACACTCACTTCAGGAAGCCTTCCTGATCCTGCTCTAACCACAGAGGATTTGTGGAGAGCGAATTTGGGGATTTGGAGGAGCTGAGAGCAGGGTGCAGCGTTGGTGGATTGTGATTCCTTCCTTCCCTGTGCTTGAGGCACAAGAGAAATGATTCCCCAGGTGCATAACTTTGAAGTAGCTTTTAAAAGCCCAAGTAAGCTCCCTAAAAACCTCATTGCAGCTGTAAAGATCTGAACTAGTCATCTGCTCTGCCTTTCCTCAAATGGGTAAATAAATTAAACAGGCAAATGGGAAAAAACCTGCATTTTCCTTTGTTTAGTTGGATTTGGTAGTTAGGGTTGGATGAGGACTGAAGAAAGAGCCTTTTGGCTGTTCACGTTATCCAGAACTCCAGAGTAGTTGCCAATGTAAATTTGCAAGGGCCTTTTAAGGACTCTGCTGTTTCAGAAAGGGAAATGAGAGTTAAATATCCAGGAGTACAAGAGAAGCAAGAACTAGTCTATTTTGGGAGGCCTCCAGAAGAGAAGTCCACCTCCAGCAATGTATGGGTGTACATCATCTGTAGCCAAGCAGAATAGCCATGGGGAAACATGGGAAGTTCTGTGTTGCAGGTATTCTTCATGACCATATAGAAACCATCCACAACCCTTCCCACCCTTCTGCCCTCTTTAGATAGACCAGTGTTGCAATTTGCCTTTATTGCTCCTACAGCTGTGAGGGAAGAGGTCTTAGTATTGTAATAATTATTGATATCTAATGTAATTTCACTTGTGCTGAAGTTTAATAAAAATCCTCATTTTGGGACCTGTACTTGCATCTTCAATAAAAATGAACTTAAGGTTTTGGTAAATTATACTAAATATTTGATATTTTTATGAAGTAATGCCCATAAACGGATCAGAAAGCACTTTGTCAGGGTGATAATTTTGAGATTTGATCCTTCTCCCTCTGGAGAATGGAAAAGCTCAGTTCAGCAGATCCTTGGCTGATGTCACAGGGGCTGGGGAGCAGCACTGAACCAAAGTCAATTCCCTCCCAAAATCACCACCCAGTGCTGCCTCCCAGGGAGACACAAGGTGGTGGAGAACAGCCCAGGCATTGGTCCAGCACGTGTACTTATGATTCAGAGTGATATGAAACAAGCTTCGTGTTTCAGGCATGACCTAGATTGCATTTATTAGCTAGTTCTAAAATACAAGGTAAGATTTAGTAACCTTATTTATTTTTTCCCACAGTGGCTTAAAGAATGATTATAACAAAGAAACATTCACCTTGAAGCATAAAATTGATGAACAGATGTTCCCCTGTCGATTCATTAAGATAGGTAAATGCATTTTTTCAGCATTCTGAGTAGAAAATAATCTCTTCTGATACTTGTGCCGGTCTTGGCACTCGTGACTTCATTGTACTCAGGCAAAGTATCCACAATAGCTGTTCCATTTCATCATCTTGTAGGCTGGTTAGATTTGGAACACAGTGAAGTCCTGTTAATAAGAAATAATACCTTCATAATTTAAATCCTGGGGAGTGAGAGCAAAACAAAGTAATTTTCAGAAATACAGTTGTTGAGTCAACTTCATTGTGGGAGAAGCTACTTCCTGTCCTCCTATAAACTGCTGTACAGAGCTGTAAATAACTCATTAAGCTAAGTACCAGTCAAAGTTTGAAAAAAGCTTGAAACCTTTCATTCTCAAACATGCTTGTGGCACATAAAGCAACAGCCGGAGCCTCCCTTGTTCTCTTCCTGCTACTCTAATATTGTGTCTCACCTCTGGGTAAAGATGTCATCCAGGGGCACCAGAAGGATTGTACCCCTGGTGTCTGGTTTGGCTGGAGGGGATTGCTGAGGGAGCATGGGGGTGTGTGATGGGAGCAGGGGTGAGGATCTCTTTCTTGCTTCCTGAAAGGCCAGAGAGAACAGGAGTCTTAGTTCTTGGATTTAATTCAAGAATTTGGAGCCTTTTGGCTTGCTCACTAAATTTATCTTCCCCTTCCTAACTACTGAGATAGTACAAGAATGACTGGTTTTAAAACTAAATGTTTAAGGTTAAAAATAGGGGAAGGAGGTAGTTGCTGAAAAAGGAGGTAAAGATCCTATTGGCTAATTTAGATGAATTTAGGAGTGTTTAGATGTGTTGGGTAGTTCTTTTGCCAAGACTCAGCTGATAGTGGCTGTGTAGGGGCACCCTGGGAGCCCTTTGCTCTGGTGTGTTTTACACAGCTTTCTGAATCTCCTCCTGTTTGCCTGAGGAACTGAAAGCCTCAGGCTGGGAATCCAGGAATCATTTGTGTGCCATAAACGGTGGGGTTTCCTGTTCTTGGAGAAGTAGAGGATTTGGTTGTTCTTTGGGTTTGTTTCTGGCTGCTACTTTTGGAAGCATCTGTAGCACTTGGCTTTAGGAAACCTCAAGAGTAGCAGAGGATTAGAGTTAAAGGTTGACTACATAAGGGAAGTTAAAATAATTTTTTTTTTTTTTAATTTCTTATTCTGAAGCTTCCAGCATTAGGTTTTTGGGAAATGTTATTTTTTTGGGGGCTAAAAGCAGCAAGTAGTTCCTGGAGGGCTAAGAGGGCCAGTGCAGAGATTACTGGCTTCTTCTCTGAGTGTTTAAATTGTATTCCAGGAAAGTGTGTTCTGATGTAATGAAGTGTAGCACTAAGCTGAAGCTTGTTAGGATGGTGAAATGATGATTAATTTCTACTACCAGGATTTTTTCTCTGACATGGAATGAGCAGCTTGTTTTGTTGGAATGGGATCTTTATGTAGCCCTTTTCCCAAGGGCATGTAGTGACAGGACAAGGGGGAATGGCCTTAAACTGAAGGAGGGTAGATGTAGATTGGATATTAGGAAGAAATCCTTCGTTGTGAGGGAGGTGAGACACTGGTACAGTTTGCCCAGAGAGGTTGTGGACTCCCCATCTCTGGAAGTGTTCAAGGCCAAGTTGGAAGGGGCTTGGAGAAACCTGGTCTAGTGGAAGGTGTCCCTGCCCATGGCAGGGGGTTGGAACTAAATGATCTTTAAGGTCCCTTCCAACCCAAACCATTCCATGAGTCAGCATCCTATATGATATACATTAATATTAGATTTGGATTGAGCTATCACTTGTTCACCAGTTACAGCTTGAGATGAGTTGTCCTTTAGCTCTATCTTGAGGCTGCCTTCCATGAAGAAATTCCTGTGCTAGAACAGAACTGGAAATGATCTTTTCACCCAAACCTGTGAAAACCTCAGGTTGGTGGCTGGTGTCACTTTGTCTATGACATTGTGAGAGTGTTTTTTGCTGTGAAACAACTGCAAAACAATGTTACGAAATTCCGTTATTTTTCAGATTCACAGCTTGAAAATGTTTTGAGTTTGTTAGAATTTCCAAGCTGTTGGCCAAAGTAACTCCAAATTTCAAGCACTGTGCTGTGTTCCTCCTAAGTCTGCCAGGAAACGAGGCCAAAATCTGCCCTTTCGGACTCTTGGAGACTTGACACCACCAGAGTTCCTGTGATCAGTGAGGTTTGGGTTTTGGGAAAGGCATTGGCATTGGGCAGCATTTGCATCAGGAGTTTGCTTTATAATTCTACAGATCAGCACAGAGACCTTACAACACCACTGTTAATATACAGAGAGGTTTTTAGGGAGGGACAGAGCAGGAGGAACCTGGCATGGGTTGATGTGGAAGAGGGTAAAATTCATCCTACAGCTTCCATTGCTCTCATATCAAAGGAAGTTTCAGGCTCATAGAAAGCAGAAAGAATAATCCCTCTCCTCCTGTCAAGAGAAGCCTTGCACTTCTGTTAGTTTAATTAGTTCAACTTCAGTTCCTGAGCACTGAAATGCCCAGTTGTGCAGCTTTTGACCTACTTGACAGGTAATTTTTACATTTCATGTAGCACCTCATTACAGAACTGGAGAGAGGGAAGAAGATACTTATCTGGACAAAATATCAAAAAAATAATCTTTTTAATGTCTGTGAGCTTTGTTTTTGGCTCTGCTCTTGTGATTCCTCCAAGCAGAGATTTTTCTGTGCTGTGTCCTTGAAAGCAGAAGGTGCAAAGACTGATTGCAGTGAAAGATGAAAAATTCTAGGTGTAATTCTCATGCCAGTTCATTACAAGCATGGGAGTTGCTAACCAGGCTTCAAGATTTTTAAGCTTTGGTGTAACAAATCTGACCGATTTTTTTCTTCATGGATGTTTTCTTAATTTTTAAAAGCATACACTGTCTGTCTGTGCCTATAGATGAGGGAAACAGAAATCACCTTGTGAGAGGTATTTCAACTTATTGTGCTGTTTTTAGTGCCTCTGCTACTGTCTCCTCTAATACAGAGTCACAGTCCTTGTCTAGGCATAGCTATTACTGAGAAGTATCCCCTAAAATCATCCTTGTATGGATTAAGAACTGTTTAAGTGACTCAAATGCCTTCTGCTTCTTAGAAGGATATTGATTATTTTTTTTTAATTATTATTTTTCCTTCTGCTTGACTCCTCTCACTGTGGAGTGACAGTTCAACTGTTAAGAACAGTTACACGTGTTTCAGGATGGATTGCTGTAGTACCTGCAGAAAAAAACCAGGCATGCTGAGGGGACTTTATGGTAAAAACTGGAGGAATAATGTAGCTTTGGGCTTTTAACACCTTTAATTGCAGTGTATTTCCACCTCAAAGATGTGCAGGAAAAAAACTACTTCCTTGTTGCACTTAGTGTCTCCTCCTTCCAGGTTTAAGTCAGATTTTGGCTGCTCTAACAGGACATTTGTCTGAAGAGCTGAGCACACCTCAAAAAGGAGAGGGATGAAAAAAAAAAAGGGTGAGAGGGGTCTCCTGGGAGCCAGAGGAGAGGATAAAAAGTGGGGAGATGATCCAGCAGAACACTTGAATTTGCTGAACTGGAGTAGAAATCACATTCCATTTTCAACCCTTCTACTTTGTTTCTTTCCCTGCTCCTATGGAGGAGCTGATGAAGATCAGCTTCAGCTTTCTCTGTCTGGGGAAGAGTTTTTCAGCACTAGGGAGGCATTTGCCTTGCATTCCCTATACAGTTTAATATCTGTACTTTCCTTGGAATAGATGGTTGCACCATGAAAGTCTTGATGTTAAAATCACCATTTCTGGTGTTTTGTTTCCTTTTTGCAAAAAAGACTGTTGGGAGCTGAGTTAGCTGTGGGGAGGAGAAGTGTCAGCAAGTTGATGGCTTTGCATTTTGGTGGTTGTGAGAGCTCTGTCCAGGATTCTTCTGTGCACCCCAGTATATTCTTTGGTGTTGTAGTTGGCTACAAAGAGATGAATTGTGAATTTTTTTTTCTGGGAGAAGCTCACTGAAGTTCTGAGGAGAACTGCTGAAGAGAAGTACAGGTGGATACCTCTGTGTGTTCTCTGAAAAGAGGTGAGAAGGTGGTAGTACTTGATTTGGTTTTTCACCCGGTAAACTCGGTGTGAGGAAATTGGCCTCAGGTTCACCTCAGGAAATTCATGGTCTGGGTGCATTTGAGGTGGTCTGTGTTTCAGTTCAGTGTGTCAGTGCAGTGAGCTGCTGGTCTTTGATCTCTGTACCTGACCAGATATCAGATTTAACTTCAGTTTGGTCTGGTCTGTGCGTTCAGGTCTGAAGACAGACCCAAGGTGTTACCCTTATGTGTGGTATTTTCGGTCTGCTGCATTAATGGGGAGGATATCCGGGATCAAACTGATCTCTGTGCTTGGATTTAGAAGTAGGAATGTTTTGTGCTATTAAAGGACCATATTGGCAGCACTCACCTTGTGTGGAGGACAAAAGTAAGCAAGAAGGAAGTTTCCTGGGCAGAGTGTGTGGACTGTGGATGGGAGACAGGTGACTCGTGGTTTTTCTGACCAGTTCACATCTCTCTTGTCTCCACAAACATGCACCTAAAAGGACCTGTTCTGAAAGCATCTTGCTTTGCTTTGTGTGCTGAACAATCAAGTAGAAATAAGCTCTTGGAAAAGATGATTTGAGAGCTGTAACATAGAAAGTTCCTACTTATGGATATTAAAGTCAGTTAAGAGTTGCATATACAAAGTCTCTTTGGATCTTTTCTAAAAAATCTTTACTCTGGATGGCTGTTCCCAGAAGTTATAATGAGCCTTTAGAAATAGGTTGGTAAATACACCCTCTAAAACTCAAGAAAATCAGGTGTTTGAGCATGTGCTTTGTGCCCAAACACACTGGAGAAAATAATAGATGTAGCTTGTTTGAAGTATAAATACTTAAGAACCTTTAAGAGCTCAGGAACAACTTTTTGATAAGCTTGGGGTTTTTTGTTCCCTCATGGAGTAGGAGTAGGTCAGAAAAACCTTAGTTCAACAGAGTAATCTCAGTGGTATTTGATAGTGGTTTGAAAGACAACAAGTAATTTCTCTGTGGCAAAAACAGTGGAAGGGAGGAGATAGTGGACTCCTTGCTGTTGCTGGTAACTGCACATTCACCTCTAATACTGCCTTTTCCTGTTTATCAGTTACAGTCAAATACAAAGGAAACAAAAGTATTTGAAATGAAACCACTTGATTTCACTGCAGTTTTTAGGAGTCAGAGTTCACACACAAGTTTTCGGGGAGTTGGAGCTGCTTCAAAAAGCAGAACCAAGTCTTAACCTACAGATTAATCCTGAGATCAGTGCAAGGCCTCAGATACTAACCCAGAGTGGTAGAGGAGCTGTAGGTGAGAGGCTGCAATGTCTTTCATGGGTCCTTTAGTATTTTAAGTACATTTGTTCCAATACTCAGATAAAATAGTTTCAGCATAAACCTGCACAGATTAAAGCTTTAAAAAAAATTAGAGTTTTTAAATTGGGAACTGACAGTTATCCCTCCCTCCCTCCTCCACAACTTGCAGATGTTACTAATTTTGTAAAATTTAAAATACCCAAGCTTCTTGTCTTCACCATTAGGGAAAATAATTGTTGCTGACAAATGGGGAAATAAATGTACTATGAGGAGCAAATACTGTCGCTAGTGTGCTCGTGATTCCCAGCCTTGTCAAAGCTTGTTGCCTCTTGGAGCTGTTTTAAATGATAGTATTTTTGCTCTTTTGCTTAAAGCAAGCTTCTGCTTTGTAATGATCTGCTGTGTTAATGTTGCTCAGCACAGGTTGCTTTAAATGACAAGTTGAGCATGATGTATTCAGTAATTTTCATAAGCTTAGTTAAACAAACTAGAACTTAAGTCAAATCTGAAATAGTAAAATTTGTGTAACCTTTAAGAGCATTCTGTTGCAATAGTACTGTGTAATGCAGTGGTTGTTTGATGTTTATGCAGCCTTTTTCTCCTTTTCCTTTCTTCTCCAGTTCCACTCTTGTCCTGGGGGCCTAGCTTCAATTTTAGTATCTGGTATGTTGAACTTAATGGCATTGATGATCCAGATGTGGTCCAGCCGTGCCTCAACTGGTACAGCAAGGTAGGCCTGCATTTTAGATACCTTTTTTGTTTGAAGATTCCCGGTCTCAGAATGTTGTGAAACTTGTCTTCCTGGAATTGATGTGACCTTTTCACTCCTTGAATATCAGAACCAGCAAAAACTCAGACCACATGGCTGACTTTGACTCGAAGGGAATCTTTTTGAATTGCATCTGCTTGTTCTCTTTGAGAAACCAACAAAACACTCTCAAGAAACCCCAAAACCACCACAAAACCCTGCCACGTAGACACCATAAGAAGAACATAAAACAAAGAAACGCTTACTCAAAGGGGACAATATTAGGAAAATAGTATTTGTATTGGAAGGGAAATGAATCTTGACAAAACCAGATTCCACTTCCCCTCTCTTTTTGCCTTTTGATTAGTCATTCTTTTAAGGTGTCAGTCCGTAGAGCTACGTGAGTGCAGAGGCTTTTGGGTTAGAGGTGCAGCTTTTGTTACAGGGTATATAATGAACTTGTTTTAAAGAGAATCCGTGTTGGTGTCTTTCCTGTTGCAGCTCCTTACACTTTTGTTGTTTCCCTCTTTCTGTGTTTTTGCTGAACACTCTGGAACAGAGTGGGGCCGATGCTGCTGGACTGTGAGATGAGAGATGATTTATGCCATTTGTCACTTTGATAGTTCAGAAGGTTCCAAACGTTATTTGTATAAACAGTGTTTAATTGAGTACAAGAGACGCCTTTCCTGTGGGAGGGAAGTGCACACTGACAACCAGAATTCATTTTGTTGCTGCATGTTATGCACTGGATCTTCTGGAACAATTAATGAGATTCATATTGTGGTGCAGAGGAGACATCCTTCCCAGCTGAATAAGACTGAATAGTGGAGCAATGTATCTCTGCTTCCAAAAGGAAAAGCTTAGAAGGGGATAGAGACTGTGTGTGATTAGCAGTGAGACTCTCTCACCAGTTCATGGTGCTGCCAGCGTGGTGAGGAAAATGTGTGACCGTGGTGTCTGGCTCATACCCACTTAAACCAACATCACGAGCTTCTGCAGGGAGGATTTCAATGCAGCCCTAACAAGCACAGGGCAAGTTGTCTGTAGCTGCTTTATGATCCAAATGGTGGTGTGGTCATTAGTCAGCTGATGATCGATGTCCACTTCTGAAGAGTCAACTTGACAGAAGCTGCTGATGGTTTCCTCTGCTGCCTGTGCACGTGTTGCTGTCTGGCAGTTTGGACCGGTTGCTGCAAGCGGAAAGCTCTGATTTGTATTTTTTTTTGGTTAGGAGCCATCTGATGATGATGATGTCTGCATCTGTTTTCTTCCATCTTATCCCACGGAATCGGCACTTTTCATGGTCAGCATGAGTGTAGTGACAGCTTCTTCAGGGGGTGCCAGCATTGTTCTCCTAAAGCTTGAGAGCCCCAAAGCAGCAAGGCAGAGACTTAGTCATGATGGTCTGGGCCCTGCTAGGATCAGCTGCCAAGTTTTTGGTGCTGAGTGCATGTGCCACTAATGTTCTCTTCCCTCCCAACCCTGAGAGGCCACTGTTGCTGGATCCACGTAGGAGGATGTGTTGACCCATGTTTTGGGAAAGGCAGGAAGGTTGACCCGTTTCTTTGAGTTGCTGTGAATATTTTCATGCGTGTTTTTGGGAATCTCAGAGGCTTTGAAATCTAGTATTTCTTTACTGCCTGTGACATCAGATGAGAAGAAGGTGCTGCTTGAAGTTGCCTGTCCTTTTCGTTGTGTGCCAGCAAAACCTCCCTTTCCTGCAGGCAGTGGAGTTGGGGGTAAGGGATAAGGACTGAAAGCAGCCAGCACACTCCTCAGTTCCCCCCTACTGCTTTCTCCTTGCTGTCCAGCTCAGCCTACTGCCTCACAAAAGCCTTATCCCTTTCTCCTGAAGAGTGGGCAAACTTCAGCACCTAAGAAGTGGCAGTTTAATAAGGAGCACATGAACTTATTTTTAATTCTACGAGTGTGTTTGACAGTGTTAATATCTTGGTCTCGTGCTGCTGTTACGTTTTTAACCATAGGAATTATTTACAGATTCAGATCAGAGCTATTATTTGGGTTGTCATCTCTTTAAACCTGTATGACAGCATTTATAAGGGAGCCTTTTATATGCTTTTTATACACCTTTTTGCATAAAAAAGAGGTTTTCATATTTAACTTCTGAAGTAGTACTATGATGTCACTTGAATAGAAACTTTTCTGTAGTATTGAGTGACCAACCTGCACCCAGCAGTCATTCCCTGTTTTAGAAGCCAAGCTCAGTGGAAATACAGCAAGTCTGAATTTTACCTAATTTCTAAACTGGAGGATCTGAAAAAGCAGAAGCTGGTTGTTACTGGTGTGCAGCTCTGCTTTTGCTTGCCATCCCTTTGAACAACAGGGATCTAATTTGGTTTTGGCTTTGATGTAAGTGAACATTTCTTAAAGACAGTGTCTTAGATATCTGTTGGAAAGACAAAAAAACAGTTGTTTTTTGCCAGTTGTGCTGTAAAACTGTTTTAGCTTCAATACTCCTTTGCTGCAGCCTTGCATTCTTATCAGTACGTGTCCTTGGCCTTTTTCATGTGGGCTGGGAACTGGTTTTCTAAAAATGCATAGTTCTGGCTATTTGCAGCTGTGAAATACTGATGGATTAAGAACTAAAAATATATCACATGGCCGTGTTTCTCTTTAGCCGCTTCAGTTTGTGAAATTCTTGCTATCGAGCCATTATTCTGAGAGCACTAATTTTTGTTGAGAGTCAGTGTTAGTTCCAGGTTTTCACAAAGATTCTATTCATTTAAATACCATAAACTTCACTTTTAGCAGTAGTGTCCACTTAGGATTAAAATCTCTTGTCTGTAATTTAATCAGTCTTATAGCTGCTTAAAGTTACATTTGCTTTTTACCACAGTAGTTGCGTGTTAAAGATGGAAATTGAGATATTTTTTTTTTCTTTAATGCCTTAGAATTTAGACTTGAAGAGTCTATTTAAAATAAGTGGTTCCACTACTTATCACCTTAAAAATCTGTGTTTCTTATGCATGTTGTTAGCAGCTTTGAAAACACAGTGGAAGATTTGGTTGGTTAACAGCACAAGCTGTGGGTCTTACTCAGAGTTTACTATTCCCTCACGTGTCTGTGCAGGGATGTTGGACCCAGCGTGGGTTTCTCTCACCTTAGTCACCCCTTTCCACAGTCAGGTGGGATATGGGCAGCTGTGGCTCAGAGAGGTTCTACTTCAAGATGCAGGGGAATATTTAGAAGTTAAAACTTTGCTGTGCACATAAATCCTCGTTGCTGTTGATCCAAAACCCTCACGAACCCGCAGGATTTGGGGCCAGCCTTCAGCCTTTCCATTGCAGGAGTGGTGGTCATTGCAAGTATTCCTATTCTTGTGGCTTTTTTTTTTTTTTTCTTCTGCTCCTAGAAAAGCTGTGACCTACTTACTCTTCTAAATTATTTTGTTATGTAAGAGTCATACAATCAAATTATGTAACGCTGATAGCGAAGGCTTTTTCCTGCTCTGCGCTTCGTGTAGGCCTCGAACAGCAGGGCCAAGCAGATGGGGGGGAACTAATGGTCACTCCAGAGATCTGGGACACTGTGCACTCTCTTCTTGTACACTCATTAAATTGGATGATACCAAGCTGTATAACTTCTATACCGTTGGAAAGTAAATGCCTGCACAGCTTGTAATGTCGTCCACACAGCATTCCTCTGTGAGCTGGCGAGCAATTTGTGCAGCGTGGACAAGAGATCCTGCTCCAGGTTCACAGGTAGCTCCCAGCAGTGCTGGTGGAAGGAAAAATCTACATGTCTCATAGGTTTTCTTGTGTTCCAGTAGTACCGTGAACAGGAAGCCATTCGCCTTTGCCTAAAGCATTTTCGGCAGCACAACTACACCGAGGCTTTCGAGTCGCTGCAGAAGAAAACCAAGATTGCTCTGGAGCACCCCATGTTGACAGACCTCCACGACAAGCTGGTGTTGAAGGGAGACTTTGATGCTTGTGAAGAACTGATAGAAAAAGCTGTGAACGGTAAGAGGCTCAGAGGAGTCCGATATGTTAACTATAAAAAATTAATTATAAAAAACCCACCCCATTGAAATATTGCCTTTTTTGAGTGTTAATGTGCTTTGTAGTAGAATTGGCTGGTCTGTGTGCTGTTTGATGTCTGGTGTGGTGTGCTGTCAGCTTTTGGGCTTGTGAGTGTGTTGTGTGACGAGGGCTAAAAATTCAGTCATGAAATGTCTTGTCACTGCTGCTTTTGGAGTCTCCTTCCCCCAGAGATGACAACGAGGTGCACTTGAGTGGGTAAAGATAAGTTTTTCATGTAAGTGTTGGCAAGCTGAGGGTGGGCTTGACTATCACGAAAGTCACTGAAGTGGTGAGCAGGGAAGCTGACAGCTGGAGTTCTCTGTGGTGATGTGGATCATGGTTTCTGGTTGGAACTTGCCACCAAGTTGGTGTTCAGGCAGAAGTTTTCATCTGTATCTGGATGAGAGTGCTGGTTTTTCTTACGGGGAAAATAATCCTTGGAGAATGGTGTGGAAGTCAGTGACTAGAGGCAAAGCCTGTTTTCCCTTGCAGAGCAGGACCTTGTTGGTTTCATTGGAAATACTATTAATCTTTTACTTGGAAGCTTTCTACTTAAAAACACGGTGTATAAACAGCTCTCAACTCCTAAAAGGAGGGAGATGTACTTTCCGTTGTTAAAATGGGATGCAGAAAGAGTTGGACTATTGCACTGAAGTGTCTCTCAAGACCTGTGCAGCGGTTTTGGATTGCAGTCTGATGAAAGAGTGGTGCTCCTGGCTGTGGGTGTAGTGCTGTTTGAATATGTGCAGTCACTCCTCATGGGACACTTGTGCTGGCATGAGAGGAGAACTGTGTGTCTGATGCCAGTAGAGTCAGGGACTTAGTGAACCAATTTCATGGATATCTGGCACCAGAGATGTTTTTATCTGATTCTGGGCTAATCAGTCGTTTTGTAATACCTTTGGATAGATGCTGGTGTACCTGCTTGACTCCAGCTTGTACCACTGAAGTTGGTAGTGATTCTCAGAATTTGATAGCAGTGATAGCTTTAAAATCAAGAATTGTCTTCCATGAAAATCCACCATCTTTTTGTGACTAAGCTGTTCAACTGAGCACAGTTTTAGGGAGCTTATTGTAACAGGTCGTCCAGAACTGCAGTGAGTGGTTTTCTGTGTGTTTGGCTCAAGGTTTCTTAGGCAGAGCAGCTGAGCCCTGCCCTGTGCTGAGCTCCAGGAGCAGCTACAAGTGTTGAGACTGAGAACAGCGTTCATCCTTGCCCTCCTGAGCCCGTGGAGTGTTGTTGGCTGGGATGGGAGCGTGAACAGCTTCCTGCAATGCAGGGACATTGTGCAACTGGCAGCTTCCTCCTGAATCCTTAAGGCAAGGGAGGATTGCAGGCTGGAAAAGCAGCAGGGAGCTGTGGCTGGCTGTTACTGTCTGTGTCACAAAGACACGAGTGCCTGGGGGAGCTGATGAGCCCACCAGGATGCTACAGCAGCCAGAGGAGCGCTCTGTGCTGATGGTGATGATTTTATCATTACACAGCCTTGGCTGTGACTTAATCTCAGTGCCTGGAGGCCCTCCTCTTTCCACTTCATTGCAGGCTGGAGTAGGGACTCGAATAGAATTTCACTCAAAGTCTAGAATGTGCTGAAAAAGTTCCCTCAAAAATGGACTTTTTTTCTTGGGCACTAATGAAGTGAATGTTTGTAACTTTTTTTTAAATTTGTTATATCTTTATTTCTTTTCTACTTAATATTTGACATTTATTTCATCCAGCAGTTTTCCCCTAGGACTTGAGCTGAGCTGGTGTATGTTGAGAGCGGGGTTGCTGTCCACAGTGCTCAGCTTTTCCAGGGCTGGAAGTACTGGCAAAGGACTCTCCTGGTAGTTGAAAACAAGACCTGCAGTCTTCTGTCTGACAAACAGACACTTGTTCTGTGTCAGATTTGATGTGGACAGTCCTGCTTCCCTGGTTCTTGAGATCATTCCCTCTAGGAAGGCTGAGGAACTCAGCAACCCTTAAGCAAATGGGAGGAATATGCTGTAGCTTGTTTTATCAGTCCTTTTTTTGTTCCAGCAAGTACAGAAGCATGTCTTGCTCGCAACAGACGGTGGGTAATTTAGCAGGAGAGTCTTCAAGAGCATCATTGTTTTGTAACTGCTTCTGAGGGACAGAAAAATATGTGTGAGGGTGTTTATTTTGCTGCACTTTAATCCGGCACCTGGCCAGCTGAAATTAAATGTCAACGTGCACATCTCCCATTGCTCTGTTGGTCATCCTTAATGATTTTGCTTGTCTTGGAATATATTAACCTTCCTTCCCCCATCCTCCTGCCATTCTTTATGCTGCCTTCAGCTCTTGAGCTCTGTCGCCTCCCAGCACCCTCCGGAGGGAAGTGCCATCTATCCCGAGACACGGAGGCTGCAGCCCATATTTGCTTTAAGCTGACACAACTGCAGGTTTTCCCTAACTGGGTCAGTTGTGCCCTCACTCAGGACACTGTGTCCCCTGGCACTGGTGCTCTTGCTGCCTCATGGCAAACCTGGGCATGGAGCTGTTCAGGCTGTGATGGGACAGCGGACAGGACAAACCTCTTCTGATAACCACAAAACTGCAGCTGGAATAGTTTGTCAGGAGTTGTGCAAGGTGGCAGTCAAAGTGTTGAATATCACTGGTACTTAACTGGTGCTGGTGGGATGGGATGGGAATAGATGTCTTCAGCCTTTAGCACGTTCTCCTGCAGTTTTCCTACCTCCTGCTCCCTGTGGTGCTCCACTGTCCTTAGTCTGCTCTGCATGTCTTAAGCTCCTCAGCATTTTCTGAGCAACCTGGTCTGATAAAAGGTGTCCCTGTCCATAAGGACCTGACCCTTCCATAAGGGTTGGAACTGGTTGATCTTTAAGGTCCCTTCCAACCTGGGCTGTTCTACGATGATTTATTACCATTTTACTTTCTTAGCAGCTCTGTTGTGAAGTCTCCGTAGCTGCTGCTTAGTCTCTAAGGTGTGGGTGTTCTTACCACTGAGCTCCTCTCTCTGATGTGTTGCTTTTCCAAATAAAAGCGGATTAACTTTGGTCCCGTGTCTGTGTAGTGTAGCTGAAGTGTAGAGTTAATTGAGACATACAGATCCTTAAATTATCCCTGAAATCGTTCAAAGAGCGGCCTGTTCTGCTGCAGGCCGGGCATGAATATGTGAACTCCTGACCGCTCGCTGATCTGGGAGTTCATTGCCTTAAAGGCACAAACAGAAGTGCAGCGAGGTTGACAGAGATACTGCACACTCGGTTCAGCCTAAAATGTCTCCTGGAGAGGCCGAGCTTTGCAGTGGTGGGTACTGAAAAAGCGGCGACGCGCTGCATCTCTCGCGGGGCCATTTCCATAGGCTTAGTCATGTAGAAAAAGAGTAGGTGGTCAAGAATTAGCGCTGGCAGAGCTAACTCTTGTTCTTTTGCATTGCTAATGACGAGCGCTGTCTTCCACCTCACATCACCAGATGATTTCTTTTGAGAGCTCGGTGGCAGGCAGCCACACTTCGCCCGCAGATTCTTTTGACTCGTGCGTTACACTTCGAAAACGGGCAAATGGAAACTCTGGCAGCTGCCTGACTTCCTCTCAAAAAGAAAAGGGTCCCTTAAATCTCAGCTGGTTCACAGACTCGGTTCAAATGTTTCGCATTTGGATCCGTTCCTATAGCTCTTGGGCCTATATTATTGAAGGAGAAAAAAAATCTGCTTAATATTCCTGCAAGAGAGTATGTGGAGTGCAAATTACTTAGTTGAACTGCCTGCAGCTCCTGTAGACATGGAAAGCTGCTTGGAATGGATGGAAGATCTGCTCGGTTCGTATTAGTATTCCAGGGACTGAGGTGTTCCTTGTGGCACTGCTCGTGTCAGGGTGTGACATGTGTTTATCTGGTGACAAGTGAGCCCTGCACAACAAACAAGAAGTAACGATGCACAGCCTGCAGGCTCCGACATCTCCCAAAACTCGGGATGTGCAGGAACAGGATGCACAGGAACAACTGTATTCCCCTGGGAGCTCTAGACAGACTCGTATACCTTAATTTTACCATCCAATATTGTTTGGATTTGGTTCTGAGAAAGTGTGGTTGCTGCTCTGTATGCTCAGATACATGGAGGGGAAGGGCTGGCTAGGGATCCAAAGCCTGTCCTAAGTAAATGGTAGGGTTTGTGTGGAAGAGGGATAACTTATAGGGACTTGAGAGCAGACCTGGTTTCATTTTTGCGAAGAACAAAGTTGAAGAAAATATTACAGCTCTGAGGCTGGAGAAAAAACCCCATGTTTTTCCTTGTTTCTCCCAAGAAATTATCAAGTAATGGCTGAATGTGTTCTGGATATTTTTCTTTGGTTTGAGAAAAATCATAATTCTTTAAAAATCCAAAGCCCAACTCCCAGAACTTATGGGTCACTCTGAAGTGTTTTCAGCCATTAGCAGTGAAGTGAATAGATTTTAGTAATCCTATCTGCAAATGTGTTGTCTAGAAAACCCCCAAACTTAATATAACTTGTTCCTGATTGGCTTCAGCAAGTTAAATATTTTTGTCCATGGTGTTTGTCCTAATCCTTTCTGGGTAACCTGCAGTTGGCTGGCAAAATAAAGGCTTGGGTTATCAGAGTGGCAGAATTTACTGAGCTTTAACCACTGTGAACTTCGTGTTGTTACATCCAAAATGCGTCATGACTTGCTGAGAAGAGCTTGAAAATAGTACAGAGCAAGGTTTTGTCTGTAATTTTAGTAAACATGGACACTGAAGTGAGAGGTCTCTGGAGTGAAGGAAAACTTCCTTTAAAAACTTCCACTTGACACTTTTTTTTTTTTTTCTTTTTGGTCGGGAGTCTTGAAATTTATTTTAAACTCCTGATTCATTGGGAACAGCTGACAAAGCTGAGCAGGCCTAGATCTGATCCTTGGAGAAGCTTTGGAGACCTTTTGGTCAGCAGAGCCATCCTGACAAGGAACATAAGGAGTGCGCTGGTGTAGGTCTGGCATCGGGTGCAGAATCCACCTAGAAATCCTCTTTTTTTTTTTTTTTTTTTGTCCCTGGTGGTGTCAGACAGGTGGTGATTCAGCTTCCAAAACAAGCTGCTGCTGGTTTGCAATACAAGTAGAATGAATGTGGAACTGCTCCCCGCAGAAAGAAACATTTCTGGGAAGCAAGCTGGAGTGTTTCCAAACCAATGTCCCATGGAAGACAAGAAGCATTATTAAAAGAGGCTGAAGGCACAGTAGGGGAGAAGTGTCGTATCTTGACAAGTGCAGCCTGTGGGTGTTGAGCATGGGAGAGAGGTTAAATGACCCTTTCAGATCCTATGTGGTGTAATTCATCCTTTGGAGCTATTTATGTCCAATTATCTATTGGCTGCCATCGGGGTAAATACGGTTTTGGTTTGTGTCGTGCAGACCCAGGGCTGTAACAGTAACCAAAAGGCTGCGTTTCTGTCTGGGTTTGTGGCTGAGTCACTATGGGATTTCTTACAGCACATGCATTTGTTCTATTAGAGTTGGCTTTTCTGAATCAGAATTTATGAGATCTCAAGCTTCAAGCCTCTCGTGTGTTGTCCCAACTTCATAAATGCTGAAGAAGTGGGAGTTAAGAACCCTGCTATTAAACCCAAAATAAACCACTTTCTACATACATTGAGCAAACTTCTGGCTTTCCTCGATTACCTAATGCGGGGAGAGAGCTGATGGTTTTGGCTCTGAGGTGAAAGTAAAACCTGCCCTGTTTTCAGAGTATTTATTTGGAAAAACTTGCACAGCTGAATTTATGGAAGTTCTGTGTTTTCAGACCAAACTCAGCACCTTTCAGGAGCTCTTGAGTGCCCTTGTTTTCCTATTAGATGGTCTCTAAATAGAGCATTCATCTTCTCCCAGGAAATCCTTGCCGGCTTGGGGTTTAATTAAAACCTGGATTTCAGTCACGACAAACTACAGGATGCCAGGAAACACTTCAAAATATTCTCTGAACCTTGTGTCATGCTTAGCAAAGATTTTTACCTTTTTGTAAATAAATAGGAATGTGTTCAGTAAGGATCATTCTGTAAATAAACAGAGGCATCCATCATCTGTTAAACTCTTACCTCAAAGCCGAAATTACTGTGGTCAAAAGAACTAAAAACTATTTGATGTTGGTTGCCTGAACTCCCTTCTTTTTTTCAGGCAATGCATAAATGCAGCACAAACACTTGTCAGGAGGGGCTTGTGTGTTGAGGTGGTGGGTGGGATGCAGCCAGGACAGCAGTGCTGTCTGAGAGTTTGTTGTGCCTGCAGAAGGTGAGGTGGCTTTTTTAGAGGAGACATTTGGAGATCAGCAGCACCAAGTTCCCCAAAGGTTTGCCAAGCCCTTCCCAGACTGAAGAGCAGTCCTGGAGGGTGTGGGTGTTTTGAATCTCTTTTTCAAAAGATGAATGCTTATGTGATAGACTGATAACCTAGAACCAGAATTAGGAGCTGGCCTCTGGATGCTGAAGAGGTGGCGTGTGGAAGGTGTACCGGGGAGAGGAAAGCACAAGGGGAGTGTGGATAAAGTGCTGGAGTTGGTGTTTCTCACCAAAATGCTGCAGTTGGCATATCTGCCCCGTGACCTGACACATCTTCTGTTTCTCTTCTCGCTTAACTCCCTGAAGAAAATGTAAACTATTATTTTGTTTTTCATCCAGTGCCCGTTTGTCCCATATCGGAGCATTTAAACAATCTGCTTTACTTCCCTTTTCTTCTCAGATGGAGCTCCAGAGATGCTCTGACCTAGTTTTAACTTCACATGGACTAAAATGGTTGAATTTTATATGCACTGGCAACTTTCCTTTTTGCTTAAATAAGGGGTAGGGATTCTATTCTTAATTAAATACACCACACTGGAGATTTATAGACACTTGGCATGACCTGGCAGGCAAACTGGATAATTCCTGATTGATCTAGTAGCAAGTATTCTTTTTATTTTAGTGCTTTCACATTTAGTTCATTAACAAACTAACAAAAGTTTAACAAACTAACAAAAGTTTAACAAACTAACTGACATATAATGGCGCATTCACTGAACATGAAGGCTTTGGAGTGGCAAACTGGCTTGAGTAAGGCTGAAGTTACCCACATGAAAAGTGATTTTGCTATAATGGAAGTATAAATGCTTTATCCAGCAACATTTTTGTTTTGCAGATGGCTTATTCAATCAGTATATCAGTCAGCAAGAGTACAAACCTCGCTGGGGGCAGATTATCCCCAAAAGCACCAAAGGTAAGGACATTTCTTAAGATAGAACTGGCAGTACGTGAGTTCTGTCTTGTTCCTTTGAGAATACTGAGCAAGAAAATGATGCTGATGCAAGAAAGGCTCCTCTAGGACAGGTTTTCTAGGGAATGTTTTTTTTTCTGTGAAAAAGTTGCATTTGTCTGCAGAGTCAGTGAAATGCAGCCTGGTCTCTGGTTGAGTAAGGAAGACTGCAGGAATACTTGCAGTAACTTCAAGGACAGATCATCAGTTCAGTACCAAATCTCAGGATATAGGTTAAACATGAGAACAGTTATCTGTGTTACTGGATTTAGTGAATGGAATTGACTCAAACTCAAAGCCAAGAGTGACAAATAAATACATTGTCTGAACAGGGCGTGTTTTGAATGAGATCTTTTGAAGTCTTTATGTGTTATGTAGTAAATGTAAACTGCAGAATCTTTCTGTGTTGTTCTCAAGGCAGAAGAAACCAGACTTGTAGCAGGATCCTTGACTAGAGAGTACAAAACTCACTGTCACACAGCAAATGTAGGATCCAAGGTGACAACTGCCAAATGTGGAACAGTGTCCCCAAACCCCTTGGGAAGGGTTATCAGGAATACAAGCAGGTTTCTCTTCCAACAGAACACGGGTTATCTTGCTAGTGTTGCTTCCCGTGGATGACACCTGTCCTGAAAGCTTAAGATATCTAAAGAGATTGGAAAGTAGCTTTAATGGGACAGTTGGGATTCCCTTATGTGTGAGGATAAGTGTTGCAAAGGCAGCTGTGCTGTGTCTCTCCATCACCTCCTTGCTCCCATCCCAGGGGTTCATTACCCTGTCAGTTGAGTGTCTGTTCTCACAGCTCAACCCTCAGGCAACTCTCAGGTGGGGAGAGAGGGAAGAGGAGCCAGAGGCTGGCTGTGTCCTCACTGCTGGAGAGCTGGAGGGATGGCTCAGAGCTCTTTTGTGAGCACCTGTGTGGCTCCAGGAACTCTGGAGTTCCTTTCCAAGGTACTCAAGAGTTGCAGGAGAGTATAAACTTTTGCTCTCTGTACTGTCAGTCACCAGATAATTTGTTATAAAACTTCTTACAGTTTTATAACGCACAGAAGAACATTACCTGGGAAAAGTGCTAAGCTTATGAAAGCTTTAAGGTAATGCTTAAAGAAGGGTGAGTTACTAAGTTGCTCTGCTTCTGTATTGAGGTTGTACCTTTCCTTGGTTTAAAAATCTCATAATGGAAAACCCTCTCCTCCCTCTTTTTTGAAGGTGATGGGGAAGACAGTCGACCAGGGATGAGAGGTGGCCATCAGATGGTTATAGATGTGCAGACAGGTGAGTAGTTGTTACATTTCTGAATTAACTTAATTATTTAATCCTCTGTTTTCCAGGTTTTGAGGGTTTTATCAGGTTTTGAGGCAAAAAAAATTGCACTTTCTAATAGCTGGATTTAATACTCTGCTTTCTCTCTGGAACTATATTCCAACTGCCTTTCCCACCCCTTCTTCCCTATTAATTCTCTGTTATGCCTTAGCCATTGCTTTGGCTTAACTAAGAAACCAAGAACAATTGGTTTTTATTTTAGTCCCTCCTACCCTCTTAGAGCAGGAGCTCAAACAAGAAAAGAGAAATTAAGGATAATAATTTCCCTTGTCTGCTACAGGCTGTGCTCTTTGGAATAGAGCTCAAGCAATAGATCTGATGTGTTGAAACATTCTTTGTATTTTGGTTGGAGTGGCTTCTAATTTCCACAGTGTGCAAGAAACTCCTGTTAAATATAATTTGTTAGACTTTTTTTTACAAAAAATGTTTCTTGTAGCAATTTAAAGAATGGTTCAGCCTCTGCTTCAGAGAACCTGCACAGAAAAGAAAGGGGGCTGTGTATCAGTAACAGTTCCAGTGATAGTTGTTCTCCATGACTTTATGTATCTTTGTCTTGCTTTAATTTAATCAGATTCCCGTGGCATGTCAGCCCTTGCTAAAATAAGGAAAGCATCTGCCTGAAACTTTGCTGTATGAGTGAGAGGATTGTTGTGGGGAAAGGAGAAACAAGATCAGGGTGTGATTAATGGAGAGGAATATAGGGTGGCATGGAGGGAGTTGGCAGAAAAGTGCCTGTGACTGTATCTGTTGTGGTCACACGGACGGGACCGGAGCATGTGACAGGGCAGCACCTTCAGGAGTAATTTGCCAAGTCACAGTGAACAAGCAAAAATGTAGCTGCAGTCTCTGGCTTGTGCTCAGAGTGTAGTTACAGCTCTGGAGGAAGCACTCGAGTTATTTTGTGTATGAAAGCAAACTTTTTTTGGTTTTTTTTTTTTTGGTGGAAGAGGTTTGAGATTGATTAGAACAAAACGCTGCTGGAGGATCGCTGGTGTTTCCCTACAGAGAGGCTGGGAACGCTCCCTAGTGGCCTCGGGAATAAGTAGACAGTGAGTGTTTCACTAGAGCTTGGAAGTAACGTGATCCTTAACTTGGAAATGATAGTCCATCAGACCTCGTGAAAATAATATATCCCTGGTAGTGTGAGCCTTCCTTTCCATTGCTGTTGGTTTTCTTAAGCCCTTGTAAGATCTGCCTTGGACTTCACCTTTCACTCTGTTTTAATAAGGCAATAAAAACCATCTGTCTATATACATATATTTTTTTTTTTTTTCAATTGCACAAAAGGGGCTGGAGAGCACCCACAGGGGTGGAGTCCCAGTGTAGGAGAGCTGGATCTCCCCCTCTCATGCTGGCCCTTTCTTCGTGCAACTCTGTCCAGTGGTGGTGGGATACCTTCCCAAAGTTTCTCTGTGGGCTGTTTGGGAAGTTGCTCTTAGTTTTGCATCCAGGTCCACTGAGGCTTGTACAAGCCAAAATGTTTTTGAAATTATAAGTATTGCCATTTAGTTTGGGTCATAACAGACCTGGGGGAGTTCTTGGAGCTGTTATCCTTAAAACCAGCCACTGGTGATTGCTGGAGTTTTCCTTTTGAATATAGGTAGTTTTTAATGAGCTGATGGGAATTGAGCTAGTTATGTCAGGATGTGTTTTACAAGACTGGAGCTGTAAAGCTTCCTGGCTAACCTTGAGCAAATCCAGTGTTAATGGAAAAAGGAGCAGTGATGTACTCTTTCCTTCAAAGACGTCCTCCCTGCCTTACCCACGCACTTGCTGAGTTGTGGTTTTTTTTTTTTTATCTCTTTGGCAACTGAAAAATCATCTCACTTTGCACTCCTTGTTAGAGAGGTGAGGTCCTTCTCAAAAACGAATGTTTTCTTCAACTTTAGTCTTTCAGAAATGAAGTGAAACCCCAAAATCATACTCCTAAGGAGATTCTGAAGTTTCATGTCACGTAGAATACGTGTTGGAAGCAAATTTCCATCTCTGATGGCCAGACCTGCTGTAGCTATAACTGAGCTACAAGTAGTTCTGTGTTTTGATTAACCTCAAGGAAATATTAACCAGTCATTGCTGACTACAAAAATATGCTTAATTTTAATTTGGTAAATAGCACTGAACCTGCTGGATGCATGTGTTGGTGTTAGGATAGAGGATATGGATTGGGAAGCAGCTGAGCTGGATCTTACATTCCTGATGATGCATTGAGTCACTGAGACTCTGTTTATAAGTTTCAGGTAGGACATAGTCTAACTTGGTCTAAGCTGCCTTTTAGCATGTTTTGTCTTCTTACATGAAAAATTAAAAATGAAGAGTTACTGGTTCTCATAATGCCCTCCATGCTTTTAATTATATTAACACTCAAGACTGGAATGACTCTAGATGGCAGAATTAGGAGGTTGGGTTTGGTAGCCACGTGCAGAAACATAAACTAGAGCTGAAACCACTGTTAGGTACTTGAAAGCTCTAGAATCTAAATGAAAGCAGAAGGCTTATGTCATTCCTGCTTTTTCCTGCAAGGTCTAGGTCTCATGGAGTTCTCCCTTTGGGAAGCTGGAGAGTTCTCTGTGCTTTTATACAAGGAAGGGGAGGTAATTGGGTAGTCACAACCCAGGTACCTAAATTAAAACAAAAGTATCCTCCAAACAACCCCAAAACTACACAGGAACACAGTGGCATGTGCTGAATGTCAGTCATGGAAGGCTGTTTATGCAGGCCCTGGTGAAATACTTGAGCAGTAAAACACAGACTCGTGCGTGGAACTGTGTTCCCATGGGCATCGAGCCCTAATGCAGTTTTGGATGAGGATGTTGGGATCTGGCATTGGTACTTTATTAACAGAACTTTGAGTCTGCCCTCCCAGGCCTCTTTATAGTTCAGATATGGCACACATTTCAAAATTCCAGTGCTTGTTCTGGAAGAAAGTGGGAATGAATAAGTGAATTGCCAAATTCAAGCTTTCAGGAATAACATCAGTATTTTAGAGCAATACATGTGCTGTGTTTTGGAGATTTGGGTTATAATTCCACAGATAAGGTGGAATTGATCTCCTCTGCCCTCATAGGACGGGCACAGTTTTGTGTGAATCACAGTGCAGTCCATAAAGATACACAATTTATTTTGGTAACAGAATTATAGACTATATAGAAATCATCCTGTTTAAAACAACCTTGTGTTATATCCTGCTTTTTTCAACTTTCAGCTTTCAGTTCATTAAGCTAAAACCTGCTGAAGTTTTCCAATGAACCTGTTGTAGAAACAATAGCAAAACAACCAGGATGATTTTCTCGGGTCTCTATTTCTCTTCTTTTGGGCAAGTGAAATAGTTTTTTGAGGGGAAAATATTAGTGGAATGGTGTTTATCGATTTGTTACCTCTGTTCACTCACTGAAGTGCGACTACTCTAATTTTGTTTGTACGTTATTTTGCTTTTCCTTTTGCTGGAAGGAGTTCTGTTTTCCTCCTTTTGTTGGACAAGTGAGAACAAAGCTGTAGGTTGGGAAAACAGGGAGATCCAGAGCCCTGGGCCCAGCATGCCCATGGTATGTGTGGGCAGCACAGTGGAAATGACAAGGCTGGTTCAAAAGCAGCATGGAAAGATGAAAAAGATGAAGAGAGAGCAGCAGACATGAAGGATGCTGTTTTGCCTGAGGAAAACACTGTTATCCATAAGATATTTAAAGACAGGACTTGTGTACAAGATGAAGGGATCTCTGAAACAAAACACAGATGGCTTCTAAGCTCTGAAACACAAACAGCTGCTGAATCCTGGAGGTTACTCAACTTCGTGGTGCTTTCACATTTGAGAGGAAGACTCTATGCCTAGCCTGAAAAAAAACTTGGATCCAGCCAACATCTATGCTGAACTGTGGCTCAGAAACTGAGGGGTGTGATACTGCACAGAAATTTTGGTCTGGTTTTACATTTGTGCTCTAAGTGCCCCTCACAAAGTGGACAGTGCTGCTGGCACATGACTGAATCTGTGGTTCTACATGGGGAAGTGATGTCTTTTCATAGAAGGCTTTTGAGATACCAGTGGTGTGTCCTTGTGGTGATGAAAACCAACCTCCTGCTGGGCTGTGTCAGCAGGAGCATGGCCAGCAGGTTAAGGAGGGGGATGTTCCTCTCTTTAGTACTCAAGGCCACATCTGGAGTGTGCCTGTGCCCAGTTTGGGCTCTCTGGGACAACAAGGATTGTGTCAAACTGAAAGTCACTGAAGAGCCACCGAGGTGGTCAGGGCTGGAGCCTGTGATGTGTGAGGAGATGCTTTGGGAGCTGCTTTTGTGCAGCTGGTAGAAATAAAGGTTTGTGGGAGGGTCTCAGAGCTGTCTTCACGTAGCTGGTGGGGGCATGGAGGTGGCCACACTCATTTTGGGGTGGGGGAGCAGAGGGATGGGATGAAGGGCAGGATGGGAAACTCCATATTTCAGATATTAGGAATAAAAAAAAATGTAATGAAGATAATCAGTCATTGTAGCAGATCTGAGACTGAAATATCCGTCTTTGGAGATACTCAGAGTTTAACCAAATAATTCCCTGTGCAGCCTGGTCCTGCTGTGAGAGGTTTGGGAGGTGACTGATGGATCAGATGACTTGCAGAGGTGTTGTAGGTCCATAATTCTTTCATATTTCATGGAGAACAGTTCTAGCAGACACATGGAGATACCATTTGACTAAAGCATGTAGTGAGGTACGTCACCAGGATTGGAATGTATTCAGTGTGCCTGTATATTAGAAGGTAAAACAGGGAGGCTCAGGCACACCAAGTAGCTTTTGTCAGCCTGGCCAGAGCAATTTGCCATTTAACACCCTGGTCAGATGAGGAAGACCCATTTGTACCAAAATCCCACCCCGGATTTCATCACATGGGGAAGGTAGAGTTAATAGACAACTGTCTTGGAGAACATGAATGAACCTGGACTGAAGCTGCCCCAGGATATTTAGTATTTCACAGGGGTTAGAGAAGGATGCTTTACATACTTGTCTGAAAAATAAAAATTAATGAGAGATCGACAGGAAATATGTTGAATTTTGGGAACATGTGTCCTCTAATTTGAGGAGTGCCCTGGCACCCTTTAGTCATCCAGACAGTAAGGGAGGAGAAGAATTCAGATATTACAGAAACATTTTTGTCTGAGCAAGCAGTTTAGAAATATCCACAGAGCATATTTAATTCAAAGTGTTCAATTTGTATTCAGAAATAAATGTAGAGGAAATACAGTGAAAATGCTGGAGGAGAAATTTGACTTCCTAAACGTAGCTGGTGAAGGCTTTGGGTAAATATAATTGCTTTCATGTTTTTTTCTTGTTGCCTTGCAGGTAGGTTTGAAAATTCTTCTCTGTCCCTGAAGCAGAAGAGAGACTTGCTTTAATAAAGCAGCATCACTATTGCTGTGTTGCACATTGCTTGGATACAGAGGGAGAAATCCTTTCCTCCTTGAGTTCCCCAGTGCTGCCAGAGTAGGAATAGTTATATTGGTGTGAGATTCCTGGGCTCCCTTCTGGCTGCCCCACTCCTGTGTCTGGAGTTTGTGGTCTCTACCCTCTTCTTTTGAGCATTTGCTGATATGTTGGTGAGGTGGGAATTGCATCCTGGATTTGTCCTGGTTGGATCTCTGCGTACAAGGCGGAAAAATAACCCTCCCATAAAAATCTGAATTAACAGGTAGAACAGAAGGGTGATTCTGGTTGGGGAACATACTGAAGTTTGGCTTTTAAAAAAATTGGAAATCGAAAAAAATTTCAAAACCAACCAACTAAAAACAATCTCTGAATAACACCAAACAACTAACTTTTTCCTTATAACATGGGGAGAACCATTGCAAAATTTAGGAGAACTGTGAAAAATCATTTTCTTGACGTAACCAGCAACAGTTGCATTTATGCATTAAAAAATACTCCTTTTCAGTACAGAAACTTCCTATAAAATATGTATATAGTTCTGCAGGAAGGCATAAAACCAAAAAATGATAGTCATTGGGTCTAGATAGTGATGGAGCCTTTCTTTGGCGTGAGCTACAGTTTTCCATCATGGTGGAAATGGAACCTGGCACAGCGTTGGTGTCCCCTTGTGTTCCCAGTGTCACTCTGGGGATGCTCTCAGTGGCACCAGCTGGGTGGTTGTGCTCCTCCCTCAGTGCTCACGGGCCATTTCACTCTGTCAGCTTGGTGTAGGTAACTCTCAGAAGCTGAGTTTTCATCAGATTCATTCAGGTTTGCTATTAAATTTCATGTGAGCCAACAAAGCCTTTCCAGGCAGGCCTGACGTTTTGGCAAGGCCCCAGGAGGATATTTAGCCGGTGCCAAATCTTTTATTTTTCTCAGCTATCAATGAAGCTGTTGTGGTGATGTGGGTTTTGTGAGCTGTGAGAATTTATGTGCACAAAGGGACCTGCTCTTTGCAGGGAACACTGGGAGCCCTGAGTCCAGGAGGAAGGGTAATTAAAGTTAATGAACCAGGGTAACCTTTCCATGGTGATGACCACTATCCTGATGGTAGGTAAGGGTCAGGGACTGGTCCTATTTTGTAATCCTGCTTCTAACTCTGCTGTTTAATTGCTGTTGGATTAAAAATTGGCCATTACCTCCATAATAGGAGTGGTTTGTGGATTTTAAAGGACTTTTTCAAAGCTCTACAGGTCTTGAGGGGCTTGTTCTTCTTGGACTTGGCTTTGTGTTATGTTTTAATGCAGTCCAAAAATGAAGTATTTTCAGCATTTGAGACTAGATAGTGATGTTTCTATAATGGGAGCAATTTAGTTATCTCTCTATGGCAGAACAGAGGCTTTTCTTAAATGCTTCCCCTGTTCAGAGGCTTCATCTGGTTTTATCAGTGAGTCTGAGAATCCTTTGGTCTTGCTGTGCATGGAGCAGTTGTGGGTTTGAGGTGGCAGGCCTGAAACACTGACTTTAACTCTTCTACTTACTTGCTTTTGTGCCATCAGGTAAGTTCCTTTATGCAAGGCTTTTCCCTTCAAGAAGATTTCATAATTAAAGTAAATTTTTCTTTATAAGGGAATGGACTAAACAGAAAAACTTTGCTGCTCCTATCTCAGAAGTCTTGCTGATGTATAAATCTTGCACCAGACAGGGTACAAGCTGAGATGTCATTGATAGACTAAGTGCACAGGATCCAAAATGTTAAATATTGTTCATTTGTCTGTCTGGAATTTTAATCAGAAGGCTGTGGGTTTGATTGCCTCTTATGTAAATGTAGAAATAGAAAATGACTCTGAGAACTGGCTGACTATCAATCTTAAAAACTTCCATTACTAAACCAAACCACATTTCTTTGTCTTGGTGACTGGTTCTGTTCAAAAAGGAGCAGTGTTTTAAGTAAAAATTGTTTTAAATTACTCTTCTGATAGTTTGTCTGTTTGTCACAGGTGTTTTTTATAGGTATTGACCTGTTTAAAGATGTTTTCTTCAAATAACATTAACATGTCCTTCCTTTTTGTGACAGAAACTGTTTATTTGTTTGGTGGCTGGGATGGAACTCAGGATCTGGCTGACTTCTGGGCATACAGTGTGAAGGAAAACCAGTGGACCTGCATATCCAGGGATACTGAGAAAGAGGTAAGTTCTGCAAAAATCCATATTGTTAAAAATACATGAATTGTTGCCCAGGAAAGTGCCCCTTCTGAAGTGCTTGTGTTGAAGTGCAGCTGCAGTGAGAGCCACAGAGTTCAGACCTTCAAGTTCTGAAGACTTTTGAAATGCTTACATGGGGAAAATGTGAGCTGGCTGTGGCTTTGAAGTGTTAAAATTCCTGGAGGGGAAAGGTTTGTTTCTCAAAAGCAGAACCATCGGCCAAAAATCAGCTCAGCAAGTGGAACATGAGTTAAGTAATTTTATATGGCTGAACAACCAGACTTATCACAGAATCACAGGATGGTTTGGGTTGGAAGGGACTTTAAAGATCATCCAGTTCCAACCCTCCTGCCATGGGCAGGGACACCCCCCACTAGAAGGTTCCAAGAAGAACTTGGTAAGAAACCTCTCAGACCCAATGCTGGTGTTGAGCTTCAGAAACAAATTGTTTATTTTTTTTAACTTCTGTCAAAAATGAGTCGAAAGGGACAAGTAACGGGTGGAATTCTAGAGAACAGGGGTAACTGCCAAAGGCTACACAACCCCAAGAGCTTTCGTGGAATTCATTTGGGCCATTTTCTTTGGCCCGTTTTGCTCAGTGTTTGATGTATGAGAACTGAAATGAATGTAGCTTGGGTTAGAGGAGGTAACAAAAAAAAGTCCAAGAGCTTTGGCTTCTACAGTTCATTTTACTGTGCACTGTGAAATGTCCAAGTTTTGTGTGGTTATTGTGTCTTGAGTTCGTTACTTGTTTTCTCGGAGCATAACTTCAGGAGATTCTTGCAGCCTCTTCTTGAAGGTGTGAAAAGTTGGAGAATCCACCACTTTTTGAGAAATTCATGAGTTAATTTCTTCAACTATTTTAAAAAAAAAGTATAAAAATGTCTCATTTCTCATTTGTGTTTTCCCAGTTTCTTGTCATGGCTAATTTTGTGAGCTTCCGTACGAGATTAAATAACTCTTTAATATTGTCTTTTTTTCCCCCAGCAAAGGTTTTTAGAGGTTGCAGTCAAGTAGGACAAAGAGCCTGTGCTGAAAAAAAAAAGATAAAATCTCACAGTAAGGCACTTCCTGTTGCCTTCAAATCTGTTTTGTAACATCCTTTACAAAGTGGGCAATAACAAAACTGAACACGATACTCTGATTTCTGTCATAACAGAGATGTGTAAAGGTAAAGTTTTTATATTTATGTACTGTTTAGTACATACATTTGTTGTGCTCAGGATGGAATGAGGTAGGGCCTTCCTGAAAAGGGGTTACTGTGTTTTCTTCCTGCACAAACCAGTGTGGGTCAGTCTGGTGTTTAAGGGATTCATTTCCTTTCTTACTGGGATCCTGCTGCATCAAGTTGAGTTCCTGTAAAGCTTAGAAGGTCTGGCTGGGATAGTTTCACCTCAGGTTCCTTGTACCAGACTCTAGCAGGGCTAACACCAGGTTGGGAGGAAGGAGGGATACACAGAAGGAGGGTTGTGGAGGAGACACAGTAGAAGAGATGTGAGCTGATACAATGAAGAGGCTATAAAGGGATTTTGGAGGGGAAAAAGTTACAGGGTGTAATGGAAGATCAGGACGCCCAAATGGAAGATGGGAAGGGTCTAGGAGTGAGAGGAAGGAAGATAGAGGACTTTTTAAAGAGTGGAGGATAGTTGAATGTATTGAGGATGTACATAAAAGAGAAAAGTGTGAAGCAATGTGGGTGGCTTTAGAAAGGGAATTCTATAAGGACTCTTTGTGACAAGCTTGAGACGTGGGCCCGTGGAGTTCAACAAGGCCAAGTGCAAGGTCCTGGACGTGGACTGGGGTAATCTCAGGAACAAATAGAAGCTGAGCAGAGAATGGATTAAGAGCAACTCTGAGAAGAACACCTTGGGAGGGGTGTTGGTGGAGGAGAAACTCAACATATCTCAGCTGTGTGCACTCACAACCCAAAAAGCTCAGTCATATCCTGGGCTGCACCAAGGGAGGGGATTCTGCCCCTCTGCTCTGCCCTGGTGAGACCCCACCTGCAGAGCTGCCTCCAGCTCTGGGGGACCAACATCAGAAACTGCTGGAGTGAGTCCATAGGAGGCCACAGAGATGCTCCAAGGGCTGGACCCCCTCTGCTCTGGAGCCAGGCTGGGAGAGCTGGGGGTGTTCACCTGGAGAATAAAAGGCTCCAGGGAGACCTGAGAGTCCCTTCCAGGGCCTAAAGAGACTCAGAGAGCTGGAGAGGGACTTGAGGCAAGGGCATGTAGTGACAGGACAAGGGGGAATGAGTTTAAACTGAAAGAAAGTAGGTTTTAAAGGGATGTTGGGAAGAAATTCTTCTCTGTGAGGGTGGGGAGGCCCTGACACAGGTTGCCCAGAGAAGCTGTGGCTGCTGCATCCCTGGAAGTGTTCAAGGCCAGGTTGGCCAGGGCTTGGAGCAACGTGTTCTAGTGGAAGGTGTCCCTGCCCATGGCAGGGGGTTGCAGCTTTGATGACCTGTAAGATCCTTCCAACCCAAACCATTCCATGATTCTGTGATATGATCTGCAGTGTTGTTCAGAAGGAGAACTGCTGAGCCACAGTCCAGGGGTTTGGTGGCCTACTGAGATACAGTACTTGGAAGCCAGCAGTGGGTTGCTTTGTCTTTTTTTTTTTTTCATTTGTGTGTGTGGCTTTTTTTGTTGTTGTTGGTTTTTTTATTTCTCCCCCCCAAAAAAAAATCTGGATAAAACCTGATTTAGAAATGAAAAGGTCAATCTCAAATGTTGAGAAGAAAATTCAAAACCAAAAACTCCAGATGTTTCTCTAATAGGGACATAAACTGTTCACAAACAATTTGCAAAAAGGAAATGTCTGTTGACGTGGAATTTTAAAAAATATTCAGGGTAGATTCCAGTAGAGCTTAATATTGCTGTTTTGTTGTATTGTGCTGGTTCTGCTTCTGGCTCTTTTGTTCTAATTAATCAGTGACAATGGTTAAATTAGGCATTCAATAATTAAGCTTGGGCAAGAACAGAATATGGTAAAAATTGTGTCTTATCCAGTGTTATTGTGGGGATAATGCACAGGAATGCTTTTGGGATAAAGGTACCAGAGCTTCTGCTGCAATGCATCTTGAAAAGGTTGTGTGACTTTAGTGAACACTTCTGCTGCTGTTTTTCAAAATTTGCCAGTGAGGTCTCTCTTTGTCACCTGTTGCAATTGTCTTTTTTAACAGACCATCAAAGCTAATTTTCCATAACTCTCTTTCACAGAATCATTAAATAGTTAGGGTTGGAAAAGCCTTCTAAGGCCATCATCTCCAACTGTCAACCCAGCACTGCCAAGGCCACCACTAACCCATGTCCCCAAGTGCTGCATCCACAGGGCTTTTAAATCCCTCCAGGAATGGGGACTCTGCCCCTCCCCTGGGCAGCTGTGCCAGTGCTTGACAACCCTTTCAGTGAAGAATTTTTCCATTATATCCAATCTAAACCTCTTCTGGCACAACTTGAGGCTGTTTGCTGTTGTCCTGTCCCTTGTTCCCTGGGAGCAGAGCCTGACCCCCACCTGGCTCCCCCCTCCTGTCAGGGAGTTGTAGAGAGCAAGAAAGTCCCCTCTGAGCTTTCTCCAGGCTGAGCCCTCCCAGCTCCCTCAGCCACTCCTCATCAGACTCATGCTCCAGACCTTCCTCAAGCCTGCATCCTTCCAAGGAGATGCTCCATGGAGCATCTCAGGACCTCTCAACTTACCCTCAACTTCTGTCTCCTCTGTGGCATCTGTGACAGCTCTCTGAATCAGTTGGCACGAGGCACAGCTAAAACATGTTTAGTTTGAGCCTTTAAAGGTTTTTACCCTGAACCAGGGGGAATGTTGTGACAAATGCCGTTGTCTCTGAGGTTTATTAGAGGTTGTATATCAGCAGACCTTTTCAGGACTAGGAAAGAAATAGTTTTGAAAAAAAAAACTCTTGTCATTCCTTGGGCATTTTAATTCTAGGCCAGTGTCAGTTAATAGAGAAACTTAATGTGTGTGTTTTGGTGTCTAATATTTCTGATTTCCAAGCAGCAACTTTCTCTTTTGAAGAGTAATTTAGTGAAATTCAGCACAGGAGGAGAGTTTTAAGTCTAGGAAAAACTTCCTTTGGTGTAAATTGATAATCATGTGGATTTTGAAATAGGATCAAAATGCTGAGGGATGTTGATGCCTCTGGAGATGAGATAAATGAGACTAAAGCAAGGATGATGTTGACATACTTTGTGTGGCACTGCCATTCTTGTACCTTGTTTTAGGATTTCCTGGAGGCAAGAGATGAGGGATCTCCCTTCAAACAGTGTCACTGCATCAGCTGGCACCTTCTGTGGTGCTTATTTGTAAATACAGTACGTTGACTCATCCTCATTCTGGCTTCTTCAGAGGGAAGATGCAGCTCACAAATCAGCTCTCTGAAGGACATGAAAATTGTGTCAATGGGTTAAGTTCAGGTGACACTGTGTTTCTCTCAAAAACTTCTAAGTGTTTTCTTGCCAAAGGTAGAAGTGAAGGTCTTGTCATGGTTTAACTGCTTGAGAGGATAAATCTTTCCTCACAATGAAGGAAAGTGTAGGTCAACCAGTGCCTCCTGTTCAGTAGGTTCAAAATGATCTAGAAAATGGGTGTATTGTGAGGTGACAGTTTGCAGTGAACACCAAGTGCTTTTCCAGGATGCTGCAAGTAAAAGCTGACAAGTGCAGGAAGATCTAATGGTGAGAGCCAGGGGGAAATTCAGCTGCTATTGTATTTCCAGTTAAATTTTCTCCAATCTCTGCATGCATTTCTTTACATTTGTTGGCATGGATGAATTTACCCAAAGCTTTCAGTGTCATATTACCACAGAAGTAAGAGTTTGTGACTGATCTGTTGGATGTGATGCAGCAATACACGAGCTTATCTGTGTCAGGCTTTTACCCTGGGCTGTTTGAAGTGTAGGAATTGAACTAGTCTCAGATATTGACTTCTTCTCACAGATGGTGATACAGTTTGGAAGACACTTTAAGTAA